AGAAATTAAAGAAAAGTTTGTAACTTGAGTCACTAATGAAAATACTGAAACAATCATAATGCTAGGATATTAAAATATATACTTAAATACTAAAAATACTGTAAGTTATTATAAAATTATAACACTAGAATACTAAAGTACAACATGAAATATCAAAAACCAGTGAAAATGGGAACTAGCACTGGGCTTCATTAAATTTATTTCAAGCCATATTTATCTGAAGCCTATTATTTAAGTCTAAGAAATGTACAGAAAAATTATATAGCAGGAGGGGATTAAACTAAACCTCTAAAATCATTCAACTTTTTAGAAAGTTGCTGTTTATTCTGTTTTACATATGAATATATTTTTATTATATATACTACATATCAAGTATATGCAAGACTTGGCTTAATAATAAAATACAACACAAATGCAGATTATGAAATTATGTTTTCAGTAAATATTACTAAATTAAATGGGTAAAAACTTGCTAATTCTAATCTCTCACATATCTAAAAGATCTTCTAAGAGTTGTGATTTTTTTTTTGTTGTTTTGTTTGTGGAACTGGAGGTGAAACCCTGGGCCACACACAGGCTGTACAAGTTCTTTACCACTGAGCTACACTTCAAGCCCAAGGTGTTTTTAAATGAGGAAAAAAGGATCCTGATTCTCAGAAAGCCTACATTTTAACAACTGGATCATTCGCCTAAGAAAAAAGTTATTCTGCAATGAGATCCACATGAAATTGTACACTTTATAAATGTAGCATTTTACCCATCTTATACCATGGGAATAGATTTTTAAAAAATACTTCCTCTACCTTGGCTGTTTTTATAAATGAAGATACAAACTTTTAAAAAAATCCTAAACTATCCTATATTCAAAAAAGGCAAAAAAATAAAAATAAAATAAAATTAAAAAATCCCAAGAGTGCTAGTAAGAAACTAAAATAGAGTTCATCTCTGGTTTCAAAGTACAACCATTTCCTTATCAGAAAAATAAAATCCTTTAAAATGTATTGCCCAGAGTTTCCTGAACTGAATTGATTATTCACACCTGACTACTTGAATCCCTCCACTCTAACCCACCTAAAAAAATAAATAAATAAAATAAAAATTTATGAAAATAACAAAAGAATAAGATCTTTAGCAGGAAGCTCAAAGGAACCAATAAGTAGGATTAGAATAAAAGTGATTAGCCGGGCGTGGTGGTGCATGCCTGTGATCCCAGCACTCTGGAGGCTGAGGCAAGAGGGTCTGAGTTTGAGACCAGCCTGGGCTACACAGTAAGTTCCAGGTCAGTCTCAACTACATAGTGAGACCCTGTCTCCAAAAAAAAAAAAAAAAAAACTAAAGTGATTATTTCTATTTTCCCTCTAAAAACATGGTTTCTTTGTGTGAAGAGTCAGTTTCAAGAATAAAAGTAGGAAGAGCTGGGCATGGTGGCGCATGCCTGTAATCCCAGTGCTCAGGAGGCTGAGGCAGGAGGATCTCTGTGAGTTCGAGACCAGCCTGGGCTACATAGTGAGATCTAGGTCAGTCTCAACTACATAGTGAGACCCTGTCTCAAAAAACCAAGAATAAAAATAGGAAAAGGATACACGGCAGTAAGAGAAATCAACAGACTAAGGTATACATCTGTCTAAATTATAAATATGTTTACTTCATAGCTTATTATACAAAAGTAAATGGACTTTACCAAATAAGAATTTTTTTTGGTTTCTTTTTGATTTATTATCTCTGATTCTGAACTGTCCGTTAAGAATCTACTAGCTTTTGCCAGTCTTCACCCACATGAATATGTATCCTTGGTATCAAATCACATCACATTAATGAAGATGTCAGTAAAGATTAAGTGCCTAAATATGCTAGTTTTAATGTATTTCTTATTAAGGCATCAACACAACGTAAACTTGTGTAATGGCTAAATTCTAATTAATCTTGAAGTAAATGGGAAGCTGTAATTCAAAGATTTGTTTTTACATCCTTCAACTATAGTACTAAATACAAACTGGATGGCATGATGGAAAGTAGAGAAATCATTCAAGCAACAAAAGAATAAGCATCTAGTATACATAATTTATACATCTAATATACATCTCTAATATATATCTAATACTACCTCAGAAGCATATCACCATTAGCATACATCTTCAATGGAAAATACTCTTGTTATGGGTTTCAATCATGATTAAAATTATATTAAAAAGGGGTAAAACAAAATGTCAAATTTCCATTTATTTGATGGTTGGGCAATTTTTTAGTTTGTAAACATTCTCAAAAGTGAACTGGGGATGTAGCTCTGTGGTAGAACACTTGGCTTAGTATTCAAGAATGTCATGGAATCAATTCCCCACACCACAAACAAAAAACTTTCTCAAAGGAGATCAGATTACTCCATTTTTATTTATTTCTGTTTTTAGTGCTACAGAATGAACCCAAGGGCTCCAACACACTTTAAGCACATGCTTTTATCAGTGAGCTATAACCCTAGCCCCTAGATGTTTATAATTTAAAACCACCAAAGATCTGTATCATAGAAAATAACCTTCTGATCTTTCTTTATAACGCAAGATAACTTTCAAAAATTAAAAAATCTATACCCACCAGAGAACTGAAAATCAAAATGAGATATCAATTCATCTCCAAATACTGGCTATTATAAAAAATAAAATGCTGCACATGCAGATACAATGGAACCCTCATACAGTGCTGGTGGGAATTCAAATGTTGCAGCCATTTGGGAAACAGTCTAGTAGTTCTTTAAAAGATTAAATACAGAGTTAACATAATTCAGCAATTTTACTACTGGGTATCTATCTACCCAAGAGAAATGAAAACAAATGTCCACACAAAAACTTATATACTATAGTTTATGTAAACTGCATTCATATTAATAAAAAAATAAAAACAACCCAACATGTTCAACCACTGATGGATAAACATGGCATCTTCATAAAATGGAATATTTCTCAGCAATAAAAAGGAGTGGAGTACTAATATATACTGTAATCTGAATGAATCTTGAAAATATGCTCAGTGAAAGAAGTTAGTCACAGAAGACCACATACTATCTGATTCCACTTTTATGAAATGAACACAATTACGATATTCTGTAGAAATTCAAAGTTAGAATAATTGACTAAGGAGTTGGGGGAAAATCAAAGTGACTGTTAAGGGTACAGCTTTTTCTTAATGGCTATACGATGCTGCATATATATTAAAAAACACTGGACTGGAGACTTTTAAATGTGCAAATTTTTGGTATGTGAATTATATTTCAATTACACTGTTAAAGTTCCTTCTTTAGTATGACAAAATGTATTTCATTAGGTTACTGTAAGGATTGAATGACTTATTTAAAGTATATATGACACTATGCTTTGGATGTGGTTTGTCTCTTAAGGGTTCAAGCGTCAGAGACTTGGCCTTCAGAGTGGCAGTGCTGAGGTGGCGGGATGAGTTGAGGCTCTGTCAAAGTTCTTTGGGATACTAGAGTGCTGCCCCAGGAAGGGAATAAGGTAGTCAGGGGAACACTGAGTTCTTATAAAACTGGACACAATCCAGTGTCTCTGGCAATGGGATCTCTCCCTTTCAGGTGCTCCCACTACTGTGATGCCACTGACTATGAGGTCTTCACCAGAGTGAAGCCAATACTCCCACTATGTCCTGGAACCTCCAGAAGTGTAAGGTCAACAAACAAAAGTAAGTTACCCTGTTTCATGTATTTCACTCCTCTACCACCAACTATTAGACCAATGCTTTAAAGCAACGAAATACTTAATACATCTTTGTTTATTCAGAACAAAACAAATTCCATTTAACAAAAAAAGCTTGCCTTAAAGTTTCAAAATCTACTTTTTATTCTCCTTTTTAAAATTTTTATAAAGGTCCCACAAAGACAATTCCTTAATCAATTTTTCAAAAATTGATGCCAATGAATTACTATATTCCAAATGGTTCAGAATTTTTTCAATAAAAATATCAAAAGAATTTCTTTTGGCTGACTTATTTACAATCTGTATTCTTTTTCTGCCATTGTCATCCTTTTAATTTCAGTACAATTTAGCTTTATTTCCTTTATTTCAGTACAATTTAGCTTTACACAAAACACTGGATTGGATTGAATTCTATCAAAATGTTAACAGTATGGCATTTAGTATAAGTCTCCTTCTACCCTTCCTGTATTGTTTGGCTTCTGTTTTTGACACAGGATCTATGCTGCCCAGGTGTCTCTCTAAATCCTGGGCCCAAGGGATTCTCCTGCCCTCACAGCTTCCCAGTTAGCTGTAGTTAATGGGATTCACCATCATGGTGAGCTGCTACAGTATTATTTTTAATGAATATATAAAAACTAAAGTTTTTTTCTATTTTCCTGACAGTGCCCTTTCACAAAGTTCTAATATGAATGCCTTCAGGCAGTAACATAAACTTAAACAAATAATTTTCAGATAAAGGAAAACTCAGGACAGAAAAGTGGAGCATTAATATATATTTCCACTACAAATACAGAAAGAGATTCTTTAAAAACAGGTTGCAGCAGGCAGGTGTGGTGGTACATATTTGTAATCAATCCAAAGACCTGGGAGGGTGAGGCAGGCCCATGGAAAGTTTGGACTCAGCATCAGCAATTTAGTGATTTCGTCTGTCTCAAAATAGCAAATTTAAAAAGGGCTGGGGATGTAGCTCAGTGCACAGCCTGGATTCAATCCCCATACCTTGAAACAAACAAAAAAAACATGGTAACAACTTAAAAATTAGGCAAGCATCTTTTATTCCATTTTTTCTCACCAATGAAATTTAAAGCAGATTAAGTTTGTGTGATAAAGGTTTAATTACACCTATTTTCTATCTCATGTCCTAAGTAAAATCTCAACTCATATTCTATTAAGTAGACCAAATTTAGAAACTAGCTGTTCTAAGTATCAGGAATTTTCTGCTACAGAAAAGTACTCAATAAAATTATTTTGCATAAAAAATACTAAAAATAATGATGATAATCATCCAAGTACTCTTACCAATTTCAGCAGGTAGTTGTTTGATTTTGTTCTCTCGAATGCTAAGCATGCTGAGTTTTGACAGGTTTTTGATGTCCTTTTCCACAGTAGTTATACGATTAAAGCGAAGGTAGAGAGTGGTGAGAGAATCTAGCCTGTATACCACTGAAGGGATTTCTCTCAGTTTATTATGCCGTAAATCAAGCATCCGAAGCTTCTTCAAGTTATCAAGAGAGTCAGGCAAACTGGTAAGTGAATTTTCACTTAGAGCCAGTGTCACGAGATTTACTAAACAGCCCACCTCTGCTGGTAGGGACTGTAATTTGTTACTGTATAAATAAAGTTCTGTTAATTGAGTCAACTCTTTGATTGACGATGGCAATATGTGTATAGATCTCTTGGATAAGTCCAAACGCATTGAATTTTCTTCCCGGCATTTGTTGAGCTCCTTACCTACTTCTACATTACTGGCTTTTTTCCTAGCTCCAGGTGCTGGATTTGGCCGTTTGATTGTGTTGTCAACTGAAAAAGCAACCCCTGGTTGGGCAGCACTGGAATCCTTCTTTCCATCTTTGGCATCTTTCCCTTTGGTTTTAGGTTCTTTTTCTTTGCTTTCTTTTCCAAAACCTCCAGAAGCTTTTGCCTCCTTTTCTCTTTCCTTGGCTGATGTTACTTTGGGATCTTTCTCTTTAGAGTCTTTTTCTTTTCCTAAACTAGTACTCATGGTGACTCAAACTTGGATAAAAAAACTACATGAATTCCTTTTATTTTGCCAGCAATCCAATTTCAAAGATGAAGAGTCAAAGATCCTGCACAATCAAAAATGTGTTGACTTGAAGACGTAATCAGCATAGAATAACATCCATCTGTTACATGCTGGTTCTAAAAGCACTATGCCCATTTCTGATAACTCATTCCAAGTGGTAAAAGGGTGCTGGTCAATCAATGATTCATTAGAATTCCTGAAATATAATACAAAGAGTAGTAAATTATCTTATTATCTATAATTTATATAATTATAATTATATTACCTATAATTTATATTATGTAAATAACCTCAGAGAAACAGTAACTGGTGAGACAGTATTTTAGTATCATATTTCTCAAGCACAATCCTAAAATAATAATGGTTGAAGGTAAAGGGGAGATCAGAAAATATATTGTATTAATGAAAAAAGAAAATTATTAATTTTAAGTTCCCAATGAAGTCTAAAGGGACTTCCCACAATCTATAAATACCATTCACTGCATCTTAAGTTTGGACCACTGATACTTGAGCTGTTAAAACTGGCTGTAATGCAGCAGTAATAAATTTGAATAAGTGACTCATACTCATTCTGCATCACTTACCCCTAATGAAATTCAGTTTTAACAACTATAACTGAACTATATAACTAGTCACAGAATAGAATTTTGGATCTTGATATCACTATGCTCTACTCAATTAACTAAGCTTGACTAGTCACTAAAAAATTTTCTCTTCTAGTAAAACTATATCTTGTCTAGGTAAAGTAAAAAATGATTTGGCAGCCTAATATTAAATTTTAGGTCTAAACCAGGTGACAGTATCAAACTTTTAGAAGAGAAAAAAGTATTGACAATAATTTTTTATGTTTCTTGAAAAAGTTTTTTCTAAAGAACCACTTCAGTTGTACAATGTTTTAGGAGACGGCTATGTTTGTACAAACTTTTAAACTCTGTGTGTGTGGCGTGCATGTGGTACTCGGGATTGAACCCAGGATCTCAAGTATAGGAAGCAGGAACTCCATCACTGAGCTCCATGCCCAGCCCCAAATCTGAATCTTACACCCACTTACGTAATAACAATATACAGTACTTGTTCTCAAAGTACTTATAATCCAGTGAAAAACACATAAAATTGCATCAAAAAACATCAGTTCATTGAGAAGCTGACAATGGTGTTTCTATATTACAATCATTATTACAACCATTAAGATAAATTTTATTCCCCATCACCTAGTAAATATTGCACATGGAACACTTGATGTGGGCTTTTCATCTTATCTCAGAACCATATCACAAGGAAGATAATTAAATTTCTCTACTTATAATCAATTTAAATTCTTAAAGTGAAGAGTTCATCCACATCTTATTTACATGAGAATACTGAAGCAACTAAAATAAGTGAGGAAAAATTCAACACCAGGTATGCCTGGTTTGAAATACCACATACATTCTTTCCTCTATAACATGCTGGATTTCAAAAACAAGCATCTTCAAACTATGATTGTATAAAGATGCTTATTATAGTTAACTTATGTTTTTAATATTTTCTATTCAGAAGTTGTAACAGTCTGTTTTCTATTGTTATGGCAAAATACCTAAGATAAAGAGCTTAAAAGGAAGAGAAGTTTAGTTTGGCTCATGGTTTCAGAGGTTTCAATCCATGGTCACCTGGCCCTGTAGTGAGGTAGTACCATCATGGTAGGAAGAGCATGATGGAGTAAAGCTGTTCATATCATGGTAGCCAAAAAGTAAAAAGAAGAGATGGGGCCAGGTTCTCCAAATCCCCCCACCTTAGGGGGCCTATTTCCAATTTCTCCAAATCCCCCCCCATCAAGAGTTTATCTCTAGTGACCTAACTTCTTTTCATTAGATCCTACCTCTGCCATCTTATCATTAGATCCTAAGGTTCTGCCATCTACAACAACGCCATCAGTGTAGGATCAAGCCTTTAGGGGACATTTAAGACCCAAACCACTAATAGGTCAAAAACTGTTTCTGCAAAGGACCATGTATTGCTGGCCAGACTCTGTTGTGGACACTCAAGTATGTTGTCCTAGTAAGAAAACAGCAGCAGAAAACAAGTAAATTGAAGTAAATGTGTCTTGATAAAACTATTTACCAAAATAGATCTGACTAGATGTAACCACCACTGGTTCATAGTTTGCCAAGCTCTGTCCTAAGTTCCTGTTTCAGGTTTTAAATCATTTATTCCAGAAACTGTATTTTATGCAAATTGGACACAAGAAGTATCTTTTTCTTGCTCTTGTAATATAACCATATTACATTTAGCTATTTCCTAAATAAATTTTCTACAATCTAGGAGGAGTACAGCTAGAAGAAAGATGGAATCAAGAAGTACTGGCTTATCTGGATCTATACTAGTATAAAAACTATAATGGTTGTTACCACATAATATTTGTTTTTAGAAGTCTATAGGGCATAGACACTAAATATATTCCTTAGCCTTATCTTAAATGCAGATGTGACAGCTTCACAATATTGCATCATGAATTAAAATGCACAAGACTTCTGGTTCCAGACAAGATGGCTTATTACACCTTGTTCTTCCCATTAATTACAACCTGAAATCTTGGATAAAAATCAACAGACTGAAAAATAAAGACAGAGTAGGGACCTTGACACTACAGGGTAGTGAAATCCATGAGGGATTTCTGGGGTTTTTTTGGTCTCCTATCACAGCCTGGGCTTTAAAGAGACCCAGAATCAAAGAAGCACTGACAAGCACCAGCAGTTAAGTTTAATGAAAGTTTGCTCTCACTAGTCAAAGGACTGCAAAGAGTAGCATTGCAGGATGGGATTCTTTGACTAACACTCCTTATTCTACTTGACCACTAGAAAAGAAGTGATAGTCCTCCACTTCCTCAACTGCCACTAAGACCACAAAAACTATAGAATAAAACCCTTCCAGCCATCTAAGCTACGAGCACGCACTAACTTGAACAAAAAAAGAACACATTGCATTTCACATAAACTGTATGGGTGAGCAGCATGAGGTGGGGGCCTGTTAACCATCCCCACACTTTTATCAGATAAAATGTGGTAGCCCTCTTCCTCCTGGTGCAAAAAACTGTTATTGAGGAAGAGCACTAGCCCTGTTGATCATTGCTTGGACTGCAGACAAATGTTAGCAAACAACTGATTGACTACCCTCCTCTTCCCAATCAGAAAGAAAGGGAAAAGATTAAGAGAAGAGAGATAAAGCCTGGGCGTCGTGGAGCATGCCTGTAATCCTAGCACTCAGGAGGCTGAGACAGGAGGATCGCTGTGAATTCGAGACCAGCCTGGTCTCCATAGCGAGTTCTAGGTTAGTCTCAACTACATAGTGAGACCCTGCCTCAACAAAACCAAAGAGAAGAGAGATATGAAGAAAAAAAAAAGTTTTTTCAGCCTATGTAGTATTTCCAAACATAACTCCTAATAGTTCAGGCATGAAAGCAACCAGAATAAAACAATAACTACAACAACAACAACAACAAACATTACTGAAAACTGAACTACACTCAATATTTCAGATATGCTTTGGGGCAGCACACTATCAGAGCAGACCAGAGTAGCACTGAAAAGGTTTTAAAATGGAACCAATGATCACAAAAATGGGTTTGGGTATGTCTTCTGAACCAAATAGGTCTATTAGCTGCTAAAACAGTATATACAAATAGAAACTCGAGTTTTTTTAGGAGTCTCAAAATGCCATAATACAATCCAAAATAACTCATCATATCAACAACTAAGAAAACACCAATTCTAAATAGAAAAGACAGTCAAAAAACACCAACACTGAGATGATGCAGATGATGGAATTATCTGACAAGAATTTTGAAGTAGTTGACTGTAAAGGCAGGCAGGCAGACAGCAGCCAGGCTTGCTCCAACAATTATGTAATTATGTATACTCCTGAAAAAAATGATTAAGTAGAAAGTCTCCACAAAGAAACAAATAAAGAGAAAACTGAAAAATCTTACAGTGAAAAATTCATAAATGAAAAATTTAAAACTCACTGGATTGGCTCAATATAAGAATGGGGATTACAGAAGATTCAGTGAACTTGAAGAAGGATCAGTAGCAATTACCCAAACAAGAATAACACAAAGAAAACAAACTTTAAAAACTCAATAGAGTCTCAGGGAGCTGTGTGACAACAAAACGTCAGTTTCTTAGGATTTTCAAAAAGAAGAAAGAATGCAAGGCTAAAAAATTATTTTTAAAAATGATGGAAACTTCTGAAATTCAGCAAAAAGCATAAGCTTACCGAGACAATAAGCTAAGCCAACTCCCAATAGGAATATCTCAAAAGAAACCCTTGCTCACATACATGATACACTTCTGCAAACTAAAGATAACAACAACGAAAATGCAAACTTATAGAACAATGATTTGAATGACAGTGAATTTCTCCTCAGAAATCATACGGACCAGAAGGAAATGACAAACATTTTTCAAAGGTTAAAAGAGAAGACCTGCCAACAAAAGATTATTTATCCAGCATGAACATCCTTTCGGAATGAAGATAAGAAAGATTCTCAGATGAAGGAAAACAGAATTTGATGCTAGCAGATCTGCACTAAAAGAAATGCCAAATGAAATTCTTAATGAAGACAGAAGATCAATGGAAAAGGTAAGAATATGGGTAAACATAACAACTTTCTTCTTTTTTTGGTTCTATAAATTGTCTGCGGAAAGCAAATAAAAAAAAAAACTCAATCATAACTGGGGTTGGAGACAGAGCTCAGTGGTAGAACACGTGCAGAGCAGCTCGAGGCACTGGGTTCAATCCTCAGCAGCACACACACAAAAAAAATCTTACCACTCTGAGTCTGCTGGCAATGTATGAAGAATAATACTTAAGGCAATGGTATAATAAAGAAGTCAAAATAAATCATGCTAAGATAATTACATGCTACATGAAATGGTTAATGTTATACATGCCACTGAAAAGTTGTGCATTTTACTGCCATTATTCGAATGTTTTATGAATATAAAATTGATCCAGTTGGTATATGGTGTTTTGGGTTATTACATATCCTTGATAATTCTCTGTGTCATAACTATATAATATTGGAGAGGGGTGTTGAAATTCCCAACTGTAGATGAAGACTGAATTCTTCTTAGGTTTATCAGCTTAAAATACCTTAAAAATAAAGCTCTTTCGGTGTGTACATACTCAGGGTTGTTTCATCTTTTTGGGAAATTGACTATTTTTATGCAACTTTTTTTGTCCCTGATACCTTTCTTTGTCTGGATTCTATTTTAGTATCTTAATATATCAGTGTTTACTAGAGAAACAGTACAATCCATTTCAGCTTTCCTTTGATTAGTGCTTTCATGGTATACTTCCCACTTTTTACTTTTAATCCCCCTATGTTGTTATCTGAATTAATTTTCTTATAAACAGTATATAGTGGCTCATGCATCTTTTAAACTCATTATAGCAATGTTGTTTGTTTTTTTGTTTTTGTTTTTCCAACACAGGGTTTTGCTGTGTAGTTCAGCTAGCCTTGAACTCACTATGCATCATAGGCTGGCCTTGAACTCATGGCAATCCTCCTACCTCAACCTCCCAAGTACTGGGATGTGCCACCTCGCCCAGCAATTTCAGTCTTTTAATCACTTACCAGTATAATTTTTTAAATATAGGATGACCAAAACTTGCATTTTTGTTAATGTTTTTAACAGGAAATATAAAAATGACAATTTTATCAAATTTATTCATTAACTTTTCTATTTATGGTATATCTTAAAACATTCAATACACAACAAAATGTTATAATCTGTACAATAGTATCTACTCTCAAAATTCTTTTACATTGTCTTTCTTTGAACAATACATTTTACACTATCATGTCAGCCTTTCCTTTTTATCTATGAGTGGTATAATTTCAATAATATATCCATCCACTAAATGTAACGGTGAAGTCGTCGAAGATGAACACCCTGGTTGGCATTTCACTAACCTGTATTTTTCAATTATTTGGTCTATTAGGTAATATAAATTGTAAATGACTTTTTGAACTCCCTTGTTCTGAATAAATAACAAGTTCCATTTTGTTTGATCCAGAAAGTGAATAACTATAGTAATTTTTTTCCACACTTTTTGATTACAGGAGAGCTTGTTAGGTGTTGGTCAACTCTGTCAACACCACCCATAGAATTATAATCATTGACCATTGAAGTTTTTTAAGTTTTGTTTCATCTTTCAAGTTCTATAATTTCTGTATTATGAATAGTTGACAATAAGATTTTTTTCTTTTCATTTCATAACAGACTGTTCTTCTCTGATATGCTAACATTTCTCCCTTTTTATTTTCTTCTTGAGCAGATCTTTGGTATTTCTTTCCTATTCAGTCTAAGGGTCCCAAATATGTCTTTTTTGTACTGTAAAAGATATTAGTGAGCTCTAGGTATCAAAATTATACCTAAGGTATAAAAATTATATCTGATGTACTCATTACCATAAGCTTTTAAAGACTGTGGCACAAAATATAGGTTATTTTTCACAAATAAGTAAAAGAAAATAACCAGAACTTATTATTAGATTTCCCTAGAAACAAACATCAAAGGCAAATGCAATGTTCTAATAAAAAAGTATGAAAAAAATAGTCAACATAAAACAAATAGACATACGAATATATTACCTACAAACAAGAATCAACTGGTTGGAATGAACAAAACCCAGCCAAACTACAGGATAATCAGTATGTAAACAAACACACTGCCCCAGTGCCACTCAGGATAAAACCACTAAATGGTTAAGTGGTATGTTAAGATTACTTACATTTAATGTAACTATTGCTATGCTTGGATTTAAGTATGCCAGCTTAGCTTATAAAAATTTTGTTTACTTTCTCTAGGTACCTTGCCTTCCCTGCCTTTCTATGGGTTAAATGTTTTTAAAGATTTCAGTATCATTTTTAAGGACTTTTTCTCCCCTTTTCCTGTAGGGATTAGAGTACCTGTTCTTAAATTATTGCACTATTATTATCAATATTTTTTACCATTTCATGTAGGATGTAATTACCTTAGCATGAGTTATTCTTTTTTATGATAAGATTGTCTTACATATTATCTTCATGCACTTAAAAAAGAATTTAGAATGCACTCGGGGTATAACAGCAAATTAACAGGAAAGGAATTAAAAGAGAGAATAAAACAGTTTACTGCTTAGCTATGGGCTATGCTCTAAGACCCGCAGTGAATGTCTGGTATCAAGAAATTCTATGTATGTTGTGTGTTTTGCCTATATAAATATACATGTGTTAAGCTTATATTATAAATCAAGCACTGTAAGAGATTAACAATAAAATAGAATGATTTACAACATGATATTAAAAAAAAGAATTCAGAGTTGTATGATTTTTTTTGTGTGGTGCTGGGGATGATGAACACACATTTGCAAATTAAGACTGATCTTACCACTCTTATTCAACATAGTAATAAAATTCCTAGCCAAGCCAGGCATGGTGTCACATGCCTGGAATTCCAGCTACTAGGGAGGCTGAGGCAGAAGGATGGCCAAGTTCCAGGACTGCCTGGGAAACTTGTAAGGCCCTGTCTCAAATGTATGTAGCTTTGAACTAGAGCACTTGGCTAGCATGTGTGAAGACTTAGATTCAATCTCCAGTACCACAAAATATAAAAGTCCTAGCCAGTGCAATAGGCAAGAAAAATAAATAGCATATAGTTATAAAGGAAGAAATAAAACTGCCCCCTTTTACAGACCACAACTGGTGATACTAGACTATGAAGGGATTCCCCAAAAGCAACTTAGAACTATTAAAAAGTTCACCATGTCACAGAAAACAAGGTTAACATAAACCACATCTCAATGAACCAGGAAAAAAAAAACCCAACCGGACACCAAAATTAAAAACACAATCCCATTTGCAGTCATTCCAAAAATTAAAATACCCATGTATAAACCTAACACAACATGTACAGTCTGTATGCTTGAACAAAAGCACTAGTCAATGGAATCCATTTACATAAACCGAAGAATTCAACACTGTAAAGATGACAGTTCTCCTCAAAGTGATCTATGCTTAACACATTCACGAAGTTCACATACTGACATTCACGATAAAGCCATTAATTCCATGCATAACTGTCTTATCTGACAGTTTGTTAATTTTATTAGTAAAAAGATCAAAATAAGATCCACTTCTACCAGCAAATGTATCACCACAGTACAAGCTGTCAGATGGGACACTCATACAGGTACCACCAGCGATTCAATTACATGTTCATGTAACTTCTCTCAAAATTCCCTTATGACCTTTTTTGTATGTATACAATGACATCTTAATTCTAAAACATATATGTAAAAGAAATACAGTAGTGGGGGCCGGGGGTTTAGTTTAGTGGTTCTGCCGCCTGCCTTGCAAAGCGCAAGGTCCTGAGTTCAATCCCTAGTACGAGGGGTGGGGGGATACAGTAGCTAAACAATTTTGAAAATGAAGTTGGAGAACCACCTTACTCAATTTTAAGACTCATTTAGAAGTTATGTGGTTACTGTAATCAAAACAATATGCTGTTGACAGAAAGGACAAGCACAATGACCAATAGAACAGAAGAGAGAACTCAGAAATGGTGCCACGTAAGTATATTCAACTGATTTTTAAAGAGAAGAGATTCTACTTTTAGTTTAGGCTTACAAAAAAAACAATAAAAGACTCATGTAGTTACCAACTTCCCCTATTAACATCTTGCCTTACTGTGGTGCACTTCTTGCCATTAGTGAATACTTATACCATATCATTAACTAAAACCCACAGTTTAAGTGAGGGGTCCTAATTTATACTGTGCCTCTTGTGAGTTTTGATACATGTATGATGACACATATCCATCAATACAGTATCATTCAGAATAGACATCCTGTGTGCCACTTACCCATTCTTCTCTTCCTCCTCTCACCCCCCATGCTCCTTCACATCATTGCTAAATTTTTCACTTGACTGCCTCCATAGCTTTGCCTTTCCTGCAATATCATATTGTTGGAATTATACAGCATGCATATAGCCTTTCATATTGGCTTGTTTCATTAAGAAAAAGGGATTCAAAAATGTCTTCTCAGATCTTCACAGCTTTTAATCACCGAATATTATTTCACTATACAGATACACAAGTTCATCTACCTACTGAAAAACATCGTGGCTGTTTTAAAATTAGGGAAATTAAGAATAAATCTGCTGTAAAAATTTGTGTATAGGTTTAACAATCAGAAGTTTTCAGTCCATCTGGACAACCACCATAAACAGCAGTTGTTGGGTCATACAAGAGTATGTTTCATTTTGTTGCTTTTTCATCAGCAGTAAAAGAGTTGCTTTTGCAGTACGTCTTCATCAGCATCTGGCATTGTCCAACTAAGTTCTGAAAATGCAAAAGAAAATCAATGGCGTTGGAATAAATGGCCCTCTCGACCAGCAAAAAATAAAGAAACCTTGACCTTAACCTGATACCTTTACACAAAATAACTGAATGAATCAAAAACCTAAATGTAAAAAATAAAGTAATAAAGCTTTTAAAAGAAAGGGAGAAAATGACCTAGGGTTAGGCAAAGAGTTAATAGGCATGACACCAAAATCCTAAACAGAAAAAAATTGACAAATAGACTTCATCAAAATTACTTTGCACAGCAAAGACCCAGTTAAGACAATGAAAAGACAAGCTATAGTCTGGGACAAAGTATGTGCAAACTGTCTACACGGCAAAGAAGTTATATTCAAAATATATTTTTAAAACTCAAGGAAGAAAACAATTGATATTATCAGAAAACAGATGAAAGTTGAAGACAGATGCCTCCAAAGACACAAATGGCAAGTAAGTACATGTGCAAAGATGTTCAACATCATTTGCACTAGGGACAGACAAGTATAAACAGACATCTATTAAAACTAAGAAATACAGCACATCCTAGTGAAAATGTAGGGAAACCATCAATCACTGCTGAAGAGAATGTAAGATGGCATGCTCTAGAAAACAATCTCACCGTCTCTCCTAAAGTAAATATACACTTAACACACAAGCCAGCAATTGTGCTCTCATGGTATCTATCCTGGAGTAATGAAAACTTAGGTTCACAAAAACTCATATACATAAGCTGTTTTGCAATCTTATTTGTAACACTGCAAAATTGGAAACAATCCAAATATATTTCATGGGCAAATGAATAAACTGTGGAAAATCCATGCAATGAAATGAATACTACTTAATAGAAGGAATAAACTGTTCTTGTGCTCAAAAAGTTGAGTGGTTTTCAAAGGTCTCTATGCTGAGTAAAAATATCAGTATCAAAAGGTTACATATTATATGATTCTGCTCACATATTATTCTTAAATTACAAAACTATAGTGATAAACAATGAATCAGTGGTTGCCATGATATAGGTTTGGGTTGAGAGTATAACTATAAAGGTAGCATGTGGAAGTTTCTTGTAGGTGATGAATAGTTCTTTACTTTTGATTGTGGCAGTGCTTATAAGAATCTACACATATGATGAGAAAATGAAAAAATGGAAATAAAGTATTTGTAAATAGGGAAGGGAGGAGGGGGTGAAGGGAGGGCAGGGGTATGAAGAAAAAATGAGAATCAAGACCTGTCAGGTAAAGGTACAAGATCCCAGTGATGAATGTAACTGTACTGTAAACCTAAAATGTGCCAATAAACTCAATGAGAAAAAAATAATCTATACATACAATCAAATTTCACAGAACCAAATTAGACATAGGTTACATATTGCATAGTTTCTCTAATATTAGAGATCCAAAATATAAATAATTTAAAGAGAAAAAATAAGAGCAGCAAACAGAGGCAGACTCTATGGAGATAGGAGGAAAACTTAGAAAGGAGGGAGTGAAGAGAATGGGAAGGAGGTGTAAAACTGACCAACAAGCAATAATAGGTGTATGTGCCAATGCCCCAAGATGAATGTAATTACTATGTATCACAAACTAGTACTAGTTTCAAAAAAGTCACAAAACTATCCACTCCCACAGGAGTGGGGGAGAGTACATGGGAAAACTGGTCTATTCTTTTTGTTTGTTTTTGAGACACAGTCTTGCTATATAGTTCAGCATGGCCCTGAACTCATTATGCAGCTGAGGCTAGCTCAAATTCAGAGCAATCTTCCTGCCTGAATACTGGGATTACATACATATGTCGCCATGCCTGGCAAAACTGGTCCTTCTTAAACAAGAGCTGTAACTTGCAATTTAGTTAATAGCATTATACAAATGTCAATTTCCTGATTTCAATTGCTAAGATGTTATTAAACAGTGAAGGGTACAGAACTCCAAGTGCTATGAGCCCAGAATTATTTAAAAAGAAAAATATAAAAAAACTACACTAGAGGGCTGGCACTTTAGCTCCGTGGTGCCACTGACTGCCCCACAAGCACAAGGACCCGAGTTCAATCCCCAGTACCAAAAATAAATAAATAAATAAACTACACTGGACAACACAAATCTATAATATATGGTTATAAAGAAGCATATTACTTTTTTAAGTGGAAATTTTAAAACCACATTTTGGAGTAAAACCCAACATTTTGGAAATAAACATTTTATAATTTTTTAAAACATTAGCAATTCAAATAGGCTGAAAAAATATTTCTCTCAATTTGATTCAATTTCATATAAGATTATACCTGTTCACAGATACTTAATTTGAAAAGGCACATATTTCACAAACGTTACCAAGACAGTGCGTTTTCTTTCCAAGTACAAATACAAACAAATATACTTTTAGTTAGCATGAGGGTAAAAGAACAGTGAGTGTTAATCAGGAATATCCTGACATACATTCTACTATCTTCCAAATTAAATATAGTTAGGGTTAGTTCAAAAGCCAGACTATTATATACCAAAACAGTAAGCATTGTTGTCATTAAATCTCATAAAAATTGATGGGGCTGTCAGTTTAAAAGAATTAAACGAGGAGAACAGAAAAAATACTTGTGACATTGCACAAATGGTACCACATCCCTTAAGGTATAACCAGAGGAAGACCAGTAGTGTTGTGCTGGTGTCGCATCATTGCTTTTTTGGAATTTGGGAGTCATATTAAAAGGACATTGCTGCAGTTTCTCTTCAGAAATAATTTCATTAGTTCGTAATTCACTTGTTTAACAGGTTAATGCCTTCTACAAGTGACACATTTGACAGGTACTATAAAAATCAAAGGTGAACAGTACTCTAGAAAAATACAAGGTAAACGATTTATAAATACAGAGCCTAGGAGGAAAGACACTACAGCCTACTCTATAGCATTGCTCTGACAGTACATTAAAAAAACAGATGCAATGCACAAAAACTTTATTTATGTGGGCATTTTTATAAATGAGACATGAATGACAAGGTAACAATAAGACATATGTAAATCGTCCTAAATAGCAGTCCAAAGAAGACCTCCAGCGTAAGAAACACTGTAATTATGTCATTCATGAATTAAATATTTACTGAACTCTTACATGGGTAAAGTATTATTCTAACTTCTGACTAAATAAACCAATCTTGGTTCCTGCTTTCAAAAGGCTTATGGTCATGGAGACTAAAAAGGAAATAACAAAGGGCAGTCCATAATGAGAAAGTAACATCTAAGGGCTGATAGAATCAAGAACATTGTAAGACAGAGAAACTAAATGGAACGTAATATTCCAGGACTGTGAATAAGGAAGAAAAATTGATTTAAGAAGAGGCCTTTAACTTTGGGTTACACATTCTCAAATTTCGGCAAATGTACTATTTCAAACATGACTGCTGCAACTCACAGGTGCAACTTCAATAGTAGCATGCCTCAGAAATTGTGTCTAACCACGGGACAAATGAGACTTGGAGCTCCATGCAGAGGACTGCATGTTATCTAATGAACTATATGGTCATACTTATGGTTAATTGGTATTACAATCTTTAAAAGATGTTAACATAAAATGACAACGCTGGTCTACATTCAAGTCAAATAAAAATATTAAATACGAGTATTCACTTTTGGAAATACTTGTTCTTTAAAAGGATAAAAATAAACTTGTCAGTTACTCAGATATACCTCTAATTCTCACTGCAACCTCTTGAAACTCTGAACTTTTAAAACTAATGTTTTAACAGGTTAAGTTCCTTTTAAGCACTATTACAACCATCTATTAGAATATATATCAAGCATGAAATTTTAATCTATGGGCATCCTCTTTCTTTCCCCTTTGCCCCAGAGAATTTTTCTTCAAACACTATACATAGCATCGATACCTTCAACTTTAATCAGTGAATTCTGGGGGCATTCCTTATTCAAATTAGTATTATCAGGCTAGGGATCTAGCTCAGTGGTTTAGCCACCTGCCTCGCAAGCACAAGGACCCGAGTTCCATACCCAGTACCAAAAAAAACCAACAAATTAGTATTATCCGTTTAAACAGGTGATAACTATCTCTCTCAAATTTTATGAGAAAGGTAATTTTGGTCTGTTTTTGTGGACAATACCAATATTCATTTACACAACATTCTTAAAATGACAAAACTCTAGAGGTGGAGAACAACTAGTATAGTAGCTAGCAGGGCATAGGTACAAAGTAGGGAAAGGAGAGTTGGTTTTGTGGCAATAGAACTATTAGAATAGAACCATTCTGGTGGTTTTTTTTTACTGTGGTGGTTATATTAATCTATATATGGGATAAAAAATATACAAAACCATACACCATGCTGATGAATACATGAAAAATGGGAAATACATGAAAAAAACTGAATAGTTAACAGCATTATACCAGTGTCAATTTCCTGGGTTTTATATTGATACTGTACTACAATTGCATAAGATATCAACACTGTAGGAAGCTGGGTGAAGTGGTTTTTTTTTTTTTTTTTTTTTGGAAATTCCCACAAGTCTCACACTATATCTAAAAAAGAAAAGTTCATTGACATAGTCTTACATTGCAATTAAACTTCAAGAAATTATGCCAACTTTTGACACAGTATCAGAGAATATCTTTAGTTATTTAGAAACAACTATCTATTAAAATATTTCTACCCTTTCCAACACATACCTGAGGTGAGACAGGTTAGATACTGACTTAACCATCAGTGGCTAATAACTTAATCAATTACACCCATGTGATGAAAGAATTCCTAAAACAAAGGGTTTGAATAACTGGTGTGGTGAATATATTAAGGTACCTGAAAAGGTGGTGCACTGGAAGAGGTGAATATTCACACCTCTATCCCCTTTCTCCCGATCTTACCTTATGTACCTCTTCCAATAGTTTCTAAGTTGTATCCGATATAATAAACCAGTAATAGAAAGTAATTCCTTATTGAGGTCTATGAACTGTGCTAATAAATCAGTGATTCTGAGGAAGTTTCATTAGCCAGCTGGTCAGAAATATA